TACAACAAGTAATTTATGCTTGTATGACTTAAAACTTTGCCCCAGCTCAAGGCGGAACGGAATTCGCAGGCAATATGGCGCGCTTGAGATCACACGCACTTTTGGGAATGTTTGAGGCCAACAAGCCCAAAGTTGATTAAATTGGGATTTGGGAGCTAAACCAAAACGCCAGCACGAGTCGAAAATAGAATTAAATGGCAAGGAGTTGATAAAATGCATATGGGTGCAAATTATAAGAATTTTAATTTTCTTTAGATTCATATTATGAGACATGCGAAAGTTTAAAATAACTCAATCTCTTTAATTTTACTGTATTTATTTAGGCAGATATATTTTTTATTAGTAAAAGATGTTTTGATTTTTTTCAAATTTTTACCGCACGTACGTACATGTTTTAAGTTAGAGTTTGAGATTATAATTAGTCTATTTTGTTTGCCCAAAACAATTCCTCACCACATTCTTATTATGGCTTCTATTGAAAACCCTTAAGATTGCCTGGCATTATAAATTTTATAATAATTTAAGGTTTTTTAAATCAACATCATTTCTTATATATTGATAAAATTTTTCAAAATTTAAATTCTTTTTATTTTTAATTTATTTTGAAGTATGAATGACGAGTTACAAAATATGTGTGAAATATCGCTGTCATTAGTTTTCAATAAATTTAAGTATAAACTGCTATAAAAGAGGTTTGTTGACTTTCACGCGACATTAATTTAATGTTTAACATTGAATGTTATAGTACAAGTTTTAACCTCCATACGCATAAGACTTTAATTTTTCCCAATTTTGTATTTGTAACATTTCAAAATTAGTTTGGTCTTTGCCAGAGCAAATGGAACGACTCTATTCAACCCCTTTTCAGATAGAGATCTCCGAGATTGCTGGCCAAAACGTGAAGGTGTGTATGAAAGTAAGCAGAGAAGTTTTTGGGTCAATACACTGAGAACGTGTTCATCAAACTTCCGAGGGCGCTCCTCTAGAGCCGGGCTTATTAATGTCTCGGCCGCAAGCTAACAAACATTTTCGCCCCCAAGTGGTCGGCGTGAATTAATGAAAGCGGTCCAGCAGCATTAATTAAGCGCCGCTTAATGGCTACCGCAATCCACTATTCACACATGCAGTAAAAGAAAATGTATAAAAAAGCGAGTTTGTCACGCACGGAGTCACTCTGGCCGCGGGTTTAAAATTTAATTGCTCTGTCCGACTGGCCGCTTTGATTTATTCACGCGGCGCTTTTTTCCGACAGAGAGAGAGAAAGAGACACACCGACTGGCTGACAATAATTGACTCGGCACGAAAATGCGCCACGTTCCATTTGTGTGCTGCATGAATAATGGCCCGTTTGAAAATGGCCCTCTCGCACTTGCCAAGCGTAATTTGCATTTTAAAACCGCGGATGAAGAGAACTATCCGGTCGGCGCAAAATTGAGTGGTGACATGCGAGGAGTTGGAAAAAATGCGGCGTTCCGAAGAACGTTCTCGATTGTTTTTTTTTAGAAATGTGAATCTATAAAAGTAATAACTGACAATTTAATATTTCAATTTGAAAATATTTTTTGCTAGATATTTAATGAATAATAGTTAATTAAGATAGGAAACGGAGCTCAAAAATGCAGTAAATTTATATTATTTTCATAACTTGTAAAAAAACTGCCTCGTCTTCAATGAAAACATGAAATAAATTTAAAAAAGGAATTTTAAACGAATCTTTTCTCAATTTTCCAATCAGCTTTTTTGGCTAGTTATTGTTTCTTTTGTAAAGATAAAATCTAAGAAACAAAAATTCCCTTGACCAATTTTTCTAGAGTTCCTTCATTTTTTTACATCAATGAAAAACTAATTACTTGTTACTTGTTAATAATAATGTCAGATAATCGCCAAATTCCATCAAGAAACATAAAACGAGAAAAATTGCAAGAAAAATTCAATCACCGCTGCCTTATCCTCTTCTCTTTAACAAAGAAAAGCAGGGAGCCTCCTTCCCACATCGTTTGCAACCAACCCTTCTTTTTTTCTACTCCTTTAGCTTCCCTGCCATACCCATATATAATGAAATTTGCTCGAGCACTGTCGGATTCCGCGAACAGACTCTCTCATTATTGCAAAGATTCTTCCCGCGAGCGAGCACATAGAAAAGCGGAGGCACAAAAGCTCGGCGGTTCGTTAATGAATATTTTTATCAGCAGCAACACAAAACGAGCCGCAATGGTATGTGTTCGGAAAAACGGGGCGAAACAATGGGTGTCTGCAGTGGCGGAAAGACAATGCCATTTTTGTTGCAGGCCGGGAAATGAAATCCGCCACTCCACGGCGGGCGAAATAAAAGCAGCCGTCATTCTCGCGTGCATTGCCGGAAAAGCGTCGGAGCGGGCCGAAAAATCGCATTATGTGTATTCAATTTGAAATCCATAACAGCACAAAGATGAAAGACCAGCAGTCTTTTTGATTCCTAAAAGCTTTCCTCTTTTTCTCTCTGGATATGAGGACAAAATGCGTCTCGCTTTTCTCTCCACTTCTTTTCTTGGCACATAAGTTGTAAACAAAAAGCCATGGACTGACTAAGTGCATATTCAGACCAAAATCTTTGAAAAAGTGCATTATTTATATTTCTGATAATTTTTTTTTTTTTATAATTTTTTAAGCAAAATAAATCCAGGTCGAATTGTATACAAGTACGGTTTATCAATAGTAAATTAAATTATCATGGAAGATAAAGATTTAAAAATACATTGACCTATACTAAATTTAATTATTATTAAAGCTTAGATCACTTTATATGACTTTATAGTAATTTTAAGTTGCTTCATTGTATTTTCCTCGCTCGAAACAATCCCAAACAAAAAAAAAGGATAAAAAAATTGAATATTTAAACATTCCTTTTGCTTAGTATTTTACCAAAAGGATTAAATTTTTCTTTAAAAAATACTCTCTTTTTATTAATATCTCATAGATTTCAATTAAAATAAGCAAGAATACACGTTTTCTTTGAAATCTAAAATTAAGCAGTCCTGTTAAAAAAGACATCTTGGTGGAAAGAAAAAAATGCTGGATATTCTTATATTAAGTAAATTGTCGTATCTTTTTTATGCGTTGCTTTTTGTGGACAACACATTGAAGATACACAAGATGTGGTGCATCATTTTCCATTTGATTATATTTACCAAAGAAAGGGAAAATACATCATTCTCTCTCAGCGCGCTCTTATGTCTACGTCATGGCCGACGGCCAAATTTCGATTATTTTGAGCGCTTTTCTCTCGTATTAATATTTTATTTGCTCGCAACCGCAGACAAGCAAGACAAATCGGTCCGGGTATCACACAAACACACACATAAGCTTGCTTTTGCGGCCGTGCTGCGACGAAATCCATTACTTGCGCCGCGACGGAGAAAAAACAACGAGCACATGAAAATTTATGTTGCAAATGTGGATTTGAGTTTATTGCTCTGCGAAAGGACTTCGTAAGCGGCTATTTCTTATCTCATATGAAATGATATATAGGTTTGATGCGAAGAAATGCACTCTATGAAAAAATCACATAAAAGATGACCACACCAAAATAAATTACTGGCGGGTTTTTCTATGTTAATTTTTTCTCTTGTTGATATTTTAATATTCTTTAATTAATTAACCAACATTAATCATATTCACATGAATAAAAAATGAAGTTAAAAAATGTTTGCAGTAAAAAAAATGCAGCCCGCGAAACAAAATTATTTCGTATTTAAAAATAATTTTTAACTTCAAAACTAGAAATCAACAGCTTTACACATGATTTTATGCAGATATAAGTAAAATGAATAATTTTTGCAATTCATGGGAAAATAGAAAATACAATGTTAAAAAATAAATGCCCTTTTGAGTGAAGTTCATCCCTTCTGACGTTTTGAATAATACGTAACATGAACACGGTGTACTTATTCGTGGCGTAGTGAAGAGAGTAAGTAGCACATGGAGCTCGGCCTGCCAACTCATTACTCGCTTGGCATTTTGAGGGAAATCCCGCGGGGCCAGACGACGTGGACGAAAGAGAAGAAGGGCAAAACGCCCTGCGATAATTGGCTGGCGCGCCGCTCGACCAATTCGCGAAAGCGCTTTATTTACGTGGACGGACCATGTATACTGAGAGATAGGACACAGGTCTAATCTCGGAATAAAAGGATATCCAACGTCAAGTCCGAATCCATCAACGCGAGAGGGTTTTAGGCCCGGAGGATTTGGAGTTTCATTTTACGCCCTTTCACAAAACTATATATTAGAAGAAAGAGTTTCCCGAACAAATTTCTCCTCAGAAATAAAACTAGGTGATAATCAGAGTTCAAGAAAGTTGTGCTTTTCAGCTTCAAGCTTATTTGAGTTTATAATGCTAAAAATAATTTTGAAGCCAAATTCATTAAATTTGCAGCAAATTTATACAAATCACTTTAAATGGAAAAACTTGTCTTCATTTTGTCTTTAAGTTATATAGTTAAAATAACTGGATAATTTAATAACTGACCATGAATGCTTTTAAAAGTAATTCGGCGTTTTTCGTGTGAAAATTTCCGACCAATAAATTGCATACATTAATTTCTGTTTAGCTTTTAATTTCTCAATAGTTTAATTTTACTTTTACAATTCTTTCATATAAAAAACTTTTTCTATAATAAAAAACGATAAATCTCAAAAGTTCCCCTCCCGGGCGAGTCTGCAAAGTTTTCGGCTGCTAGTCTCGTTCGCGAACAAAATCTCAGCACGCACCAGACGGGCTCTGGAGCTGCTCGGAAGTAAATCAGCATTAGGCCGCGTCGTAAATTTTGCTTATCCATCGACAGGTAATGGCCGCGCCGAGTGAGCGATGAATGAATTCGTGGCGCATAATGCACCTTTACGTATGGGCGGTTTTAAACCCGAGTGAGTCCTAAACCAGCAGATTTTAATAACATACGCACCAAAACCTAATTATCCTCTGTGTGGATTTTGGGTCAGGAATGAAAATTGACTGCTGTACTCACCACTGGCGGATCTCCTTTTCCGAAACTGAAACATACAACGCAAAGGGTTAGTTATTAGTTTTAGTGCGCGCAAACAAGCAACAAACACACGCGCTCTGAATAGATTGGCAAACAAATCAAAATTGTGAACAGGTAGGCGTTTGCAAACAACCAACAGGGCTGTGGTATAAATTAGTTTGGATTTATAGAGCCAATAAATTCTGGATGCAGAAATTAATTCACATGTTTTCAGGTTTTATCAAAATCAGAATCAAAATTTCAATTTATCAAATGGAATATAAATAAACAAAAAGATTACTTAATTTATTGAAATTGTTAATTTTCGTCAAGAGTGAAAACTATTAAATTTAACTTTGATATCCAGAGAGTGTAAACTGCAGTTCAGGCAACGGGATGTTTTGCTCAAAACTCAATTTTGAATTGAAAACGAATTTTTAACCCATTAAGAGATGGGTATTTATTGACCAGCAGAATAATTTCCGTGATTGGATTTTTTATTTTTGGAAAATATGCAAATGAGAAGCAGCTTTGTTGAAGAATCCTGCGCTTTCAATTATGGAAATATGAAATTAATAAAGAGGCTTTGATTGATTTTGCCTTACGGACCAAGCGAATATTTTATGCACGTCGCTTTTGACGGTCGCTCGCTCTCACCACAAGAGGACGAATAATAATTCAAAAGGCCGCTTTTCGTGCGATCGAGTGAGTCGATTTTCCGCCATCGAGTGCGTCCTCTATCCATTTCGTTTGACGAGCAAGCCAGCCGTGAATTTCATTGTGCGAAAAAACCAGGCCGAGAGCGAATTCGCTCTAGACCGTTTGTTATTCAATAAAGAGAAATAAAATACATAATGGATTGGTCCGTTAATGGAATTTTATTGCCAGCGAACTGAAAGAAGGAGATTTTTTTTGTACGAAATTTAGGCGCATAAATTATTGGCATGAAATTCGCCGCATGCCGTTTCGCAGCTTGCTCTGCCTCTTTATCTCCGAATTCAGAAGGTTAATCCGCTTTGCACGGAGGCTTCCATATAAAGATTTAAAGCTTGGCTGGCCTCGAATGGAAAAGAGGATTCGCGACTCGCAAGGCTGCTGGATTAACGCTTATTGCAACTTCGTGAGAGGAGCGATGAGAAAGGATATATAATTTTTTCCTCCTTGGCAGGCAAAGGCTGAGGAAGTTCAGTCAATTATTTTTCTCACTTATTGACCACGTAGGCCGTAAAATTTCTCATTTTGCTCCCATATTCAAATTAAAGGTGTAAATTTACTAAACCGCGAAAAATTCATTCTACACTAGAATTATCTTAGTTTGATATTTAAATTATGAAAATTAAAATGATAATGAATTTATTTAGAGGGAGCAATAATCAAAGGAATTTAAAGAATGTTATTGATTTATTAATGTTAATAATGTATCGAAAAAATAAATTAGAACTACTGTAGAACCCACACATTTCCCGCAAGGTTTATATGTTTAAAGGTAATGTGATTAAGAACTATTTAATAAATATTATTAATTTAGCCTTTACAACATAATTTACAAAAAAAGATTGATATAAAATTGAAAATAAGTTGCAAATTATGTGAAATAAGTATAAAATTAAAATACTATAGATAATAAAAAATAAAAAAGATCAATTATAATAAAATGAATTATAATAATGAATATTAATAAGTAAAATCTTGTTATGAATGCACAAATGTAAAATTTTTAACTTTTAAAATTTCACAAACACTTCTACATTACAAAGTCTTTGAGTCATTTGATTATCTTACGGTGTATACTTCAAAGTTTTTTTTTAACAAATATTTGAAAGTGCGAAGGTGCTGCCGGTCGAAGACTCTAAACCTCATGTTCTCTTCTCATACGTATTATTGATCAGCCTGCTTTATCCGGAATAAATTTCCCAGGGCAATGTATAGTACAAGTCGTTGCTGTCAGGCGAATGATTGAATGTCTTGCGGAAGAAAAAAGTGAAAAATTCAGAGAGCTGAATAGAGGCCGGTATGGCAGACGATTCCTATCATTAGCTGACAGAACTTCTCTCTCAATTTCTCCTCTTTGATCAAAATTGAAAAGAATTGCGATTGGTAAATACAAATTTAATTTCCGCAGTCTCCCGTGTAATGAAAGTTTCCTTAAATGGTGTCACAACGTGTTCAGTGTTTTTTTTATGCCCCTCAAAAGAAGCAAACGGAAATTTCATGCTCCCCCACAAAGACAAAAGTTAGTTTGCTTCTTCGGCCTGGCTGCTCGCGTTAATTAGATTTGTTATCAGCAGCTTTCAAAGAGAAAGAGACGAGTGGAGCTCAAGACCATGGGGAACGGATCGTGCTCAAATAATGCAAATATCATGGTTGACTGCCTGCGTTGTTTGAAATAGTTCACTTGCTGCTCTCTGATTAAACAATTAAATCAAAACGGGAAACAAAAACGTATGGTAAGAGTTTTGCGACACTTCAACTTGATATTGTATTCAAAATTTTATGAATAATAAACTGTGATATGAAACTTTTGTTTTTTCCTCTGCTGTCAAAAAGGGATGCATTTAGTAGCCAAAACCAAGCGATAACTTTCTCAACTTTCTTTAATCACGATTCCCCTGTTTTCCATTAAAAATGTTTCCATTATTCTTAACTGGAATTTGATTTCAACTAATTTTTTAAAATTTAATTGCTGATATATTATCAAAAACTGAAATAATTTTCATAAATTTATATTTAGAAAAAAATATTTCTACTCTTTTGCAAATTATATACATTATTATTACATTCAATCCTTTTTTTTCAGAAAAAGTAAAGAAGTATTTCAGCAGAAGAGAACACTAGAAAAACAAATGAGAAAGAAAGACATTTACTTTAATGCCATTGCGCGAAACGTGTGAGACTTGAAATATCGTGATGCACTTTATTTGGCCTCGGGCGGAAAAATGAGTTTGCATAATATGCACATGCATGAGTCTGGAAAGAGGCGGTTGAATTTCTCGGATGCAGTGGAGAGTGGTTTCGCTGGTGGTGAATGCGAATGAAATGCGGCTTGCATTTTTCATGGCACGCTCGCATTGCTGGCAGATGCGGCGGAAAAGCCCGGAAAATAATCCCATCTCTCTCCAGAGAGAAACGTAAATGCACTTGGTAAATACGGCACCAGCAGAAAGCGACGTTCGTGCGGTTCGCGCTTTTTTGCGATCTTGGCAAAAGTAGTGCAGCTGCACCAATCAGAAATGGAATTTAATGGGAAAAAAAGAAGAGTGCAAAAAAATATATTTTCAGCGCAAGGAAAAATAAATTATTTTGGAAGAATTTAAAAAAAAAATGCACTAAAATTTTCAGGGTATTATTCTAAAAGAAGTTTTTAAAATAATCAAATAAATCAATGCAAAATAATTAGCTTTATCAGTTTCTTTCCGCTGAAAACTTCTTTTGAACTTCAATTTTCAAGGATATTAAACCAAAATTTTAAATCCTAAATAATATTACAAATTTGTATCAACGAACATTCATTTTGTTTATATCTTAAAAAATTTGGTAAAGCTTCATATATAAGAAAAATATTTTTATTGACTTTTAATTTATCAAAAATTTAAAACATTTTGTCTACTTTGAATCACTTTTACTTCTAAAGAAAACAAATTTGAAATTTCTGGACAGAGAATGTATCAACTTCATGATACAATCTACAGGGATTCGATTACTTGGTGTCTGTAGCGTTTTTTTTTACCAGAATGGTGGTGCACGACACCCGACCTGCTCACGCTCACTCGGGTGTCTCTGGGGCAGGAGGTCACAATTATTTTGAGCCGGCCTTGTCATTTCGTGGCAGGGCTGCCTAGCTGTTCGCACACAAGGTCAATATTTGCCCAGCACTCGCTTCGTGCACCCACCCGACCGGCGCCTTTATTTCGCGAAAATGGGAAAAGCAGGGAAAAAAACGCCGAGAGACAAGAAAAAATAACCGGGTGTTTGGCCAAGGGAGGAGCAGAGCAAGCAGGCCGTTTTAAACAAAAAGAAAAGAGGAGATTCTCACTCGGCACCAGTCGGAGAGATTATTCAAAAGAGCATAGAATGGTTTTTGCAGGAAGATTTCGGAATGAATAGCGTCGAGAATTTTCATTCACTATTGAATGACCTTTAAACGAAGGGCAAACTTTCAAGGTCAAAATCCAGTTTCATTAAGTAGATAAATTATAATAAATGTATATTACATTTATATGCTATAGATATAGAGTCGCCTAGCTTAGATTATTTATGCGAAATTCAAAAGTGGAACCGCAACAGAAAACAACCGAAACTTTTGGCTAAAGTTCCTTGCCTCGCCAAGGATTATGAACTTCGCATCTTGCGGCGTTTGAATTCGCAACGACTCTTGGTTTTGTACGTTCTCAAAAGAGAGAAAAGTTTCGCAAGCCCCAAAGCCACGAATCCGATTCCGAGCGAGTCTCGATCTACTTTTTTATCCCATTCTTTTTTTCGTTCTCCTCGGCGGGCGAATCGTACCGATTATTAATGTAGCACCGCAGGTCGCGACTATGAATTATGAATGGTCTCGACACGGCTGTGTGAGAATTTAAAATTCTACGACGAAGGAGCGCAGGTGAGTAGACGTAGCGCCCTTTTTCTATTGATAATCCATAAAGTTTTATCTCCTCCGTCATCTCTTTCTGAGCCGCGCCTGAAATTTTCATAAACAACCCGAATTTATGGTTATTAAAAAAGGGAGTGCGCGGGGCTCGTTTCGCCTGGCATGTTTATTCGGGAAAAAAGGTGCGCCTGTGATAATATCGACTGACTTTTATACGCGCCCCTCGCCGACTGCTTTTTTTTCGCCCACCGAAAAACGCTTCGCTCCGATGACCTAAAAAAAAAGTGCGTCAAAGTAAATTATCAAAAGGTTGGATAAAAAGGAGACCTTTCATACTGATTCCACATTTTTTTAAAAAGAAAAAACCCAATAAGAGAAATTTAAAAATATATACAGGAGTTTTATTGATTTTGTAACTTTCTTTTGGGATATTTTTAAAT